GTAGGAGTAGGAAGGATAGGAGTAGGAGTAGGAGTAGGAGTCAAGCTAGCCAGCTCGAGCGAGTCAAGCATGGCATGCCCAGTCCCGCCCGCCCTCCCACAACATAAGAAGCAAAGCTGGCACAACTGGGGGCCGAAGTCACACCGGCCAGCCGGTTTGGTACAGCTGATGCGGCCGCGATGGCGGTTGCCGACGGGAACTGGCGAGCGCGTGTTGAATGCCGCGCACGCATTGCCAGACGAGTCGAGAATGGCCCGGTACACCGCAGGAAGCCAGAGGTGGCCGGAGGAAGCCCGACGGTCTGACAGGACACCCCAAAGCATTTTTGTGAAAAAGCATTGGGTTTTTGATGTTTTTATGTTGAAATGCTTGCAAACACACGGTGTTCGGTAGGATTCTGACATGAACGCGCGAGTGTGCTCTTTGTGGTATTTTTTGCACAGGATTCGCGGCCTGGGTGCATGACAGAGCATCGCGAGTGCACCGCGCGATGACGTGAAATCGCTGGATTTGACCGAATTCTTAAGATTCCCATGGTTTTCCTATGATTTCAGCAAGAGAGCCCGGGCGGGAAATTTGTAGATTTTTTGTGAAAAAGCATTGGGTTTTTGATGTTTTTATGTTGAAATGCTTGCAAACACACGGTGTTCGGTAGGATTCTGACATGAACGCGCGCGTGTGCTCTTTGTGGTATTTTTTGCAATGGATTATCGCCGTGGACGACAGGACGTCCATGTCGAGAGGAAAAAATAAGAAAAATGTTGATTTTGTATTGTTTTTTACAGGTTAGGATGGGACCCCCCCGGATGCGGCCCCTAATGGCCGGCCTGAGGGGGGAGTAGGAGTATATTCTAATAAGGAATAAGGATAGGAGTAGTAGTAGTAGTAGTAGTAGTAGTAGTCGTCGTCGTCGTCGTCGTCGTCGTCGTCGTCGTCGTCGTCGTCGTCGTCGTCGTCGTAGTAGTAGTAGTAGTAGGTAGTAGTAGTAGTAGTAGTAGTCGTAGTAGTAGTAGTAGTAGTAAGTAGTAGTTGTAGTAGTAGTAGTAGTAGTTAGTAGTAGTAGTAGTAGTAGTAGTAGTAGTAGTAGCAGTAGTAGCAGTAGTAGCAGTAGTAGTAGTAGTAGTAGTAGTAGTAGTAGTAGTAGTGGTGGTGGTGGTGGTGGTGGTGGTGGTGGTGGTGGTGGTGGTGGTGGTGGTGGTGGTAGTAGTAGTAGTAGTCGTAGTCGTGGTCGTGGTCGTGGTCGTAGTAGTAGCAGCGGTCGTAATACGGATCGTTGTAGTAGTGGCCGTAGTCATCGGAAAAGGCAAGGCGGGTTGCGAGACACTCGGGGCACTTGGTGGTCCTGGATCTGGCAGCCGTGGTATGCAGGGTGGGCGGTTGTAGTAATAAGCGAGGCGAGGGGCGGGATGCACGGGATACTCGGTGCACCTGGGGATCTGGCGGCCGCGGTGCGCAGAGTGGGCGGGAGTCGTGGAAGGCGGGGCGGGGGGCGGGATAATTGGAATTCTGTGTGGACCTGGGGACTTTGCTGCCGCGGTATGCAGGGTGGGCGGGTCGGGAGCCTAGTTCTTAAACTCTAACAGCCCCAACCTGATGGGCGGGAAATCAGATTGGCGGATGTTAGGGGGGGGCGTCTGGGGACTTCAGGGAAACGCTGGTCGTCGTCGTTGTCGTCGTCTCGGTTCCGTGTTGATTATCGGTGCCGTGGTCGCCGTCGGTGCCATGGTCGTCGTCGATGTCGTGGCCGTCGTGATCTCGGTCATGGTGTTCGTTGTCTTGGTCGTCGCGGGGGTGGTCGTCGTCTGGTCGTGGGTGTGGTCGGGTTTCGTCGTCGCCAGGGAGAGGAAAGCAGGAGGAGGGACTGCGCACGAGGCAAAAGGGAGAGGGGAGAGAGAGAGAGAGAGAGAGAGAGGGGAGGGAGGGAGGATGACCAGGAGCTGGGGGGGGGAAGAGGACCACCGCAAGCCCAGGATGCATCGGCCTCCCTCCCGCCCCGAGGCCCCTCACGCCCCAGTCTCGACGGGAATCCTCTCCACACCGCGAGGGGCCCGCGCCGGAGGGGCGGCGGCCTCCCGGGCCCGCCGCGCGGGCGCGGGGAGGGCCCCGCCCTGGCGAGGCGCCTCCAGCGGGAGCCCCGCTCCGAAGGGGGACCGTGCTCCGTCCGTGCAGCTGCTGCACGTGCTTCCTGCGTCGGGTCGTACAACTTTTTGTTGTTTAAAAAAACAAGGTGTTTTGTCTAGTTTGGTTTGTGTTTCATACCGTCTGTGCCATCACTCGCGTTATGCCCCCTACCCTGCCTTCCCTCCCCCCATCCCATAGCGTAGCGCTCCCCACCTCAGTGCGTCCCTGGCGCTGCCGCAGTGCGTCCGGCTACACAGGTCTGGGGGGGACGCTACGTGAGGGGGGGAGTCGTTACCTCATGCCCCTTCCCGTCCACCCCCCTGCCTCCCAGAACGCCCAGTATGGCCGCGAAGAATAATATACGCACGAGGAAGTACACCCATCGGAGATCTTAAGGAACAGCAGGAATTTTCGTGGACTCCAGCTTTCATGAGAGAAAGCCACGCGTGTGGACTGGGCCCTGAGCGTTTTCTTGGAGCTTGAAGTCTTGTAGGAGTGTCGTATCTGTGGGCCTGAACTGCTGTTTAAAGATCACGCTTCGAGTGAAGGCCACTTTCTTAGCGTAGAATTTGTTGTTAAACAAACTTTTAGCAAGGGTGTAGCTGTTGCACTCTGGGTCGTGCAACCAGAGGAAGTACACAGTTCTAGAGCCCTATGTTGAGAATGCTTCGCGTTCCATCCCTGTAGCTGTCGCTCAACTCTGCTTCTCGGGCAGTGCACTTTTGCAAGGCATCCGGCGAGAACCCCATGCTGAAGATCAGCCGCACTCTATGTTTGCAGTTGTCGCGCATGTTTATCAGGAGGGAAAAACACACAGAAACAACTAATCGTCGATTCCATAGAAAATCTGGGAAAATATGGAACGTTGGGGGGGAAGACAAAAACCCAGAACATATGGGAACATATGGGGAATCCGTGATTTGTGTCTATTTATTTGTGTGTCCCAGGGCCCCTTCCGTTTACTTGCCGGGTCGAGCATATTGAAAACGTTTCAAGCGAACGCGCCACCTGGAGGAGGAGCCGCCTTCCTCCGTCTTGGCCGCAGGCAGCTTCAAACACCGCACGTGCCCGCGTCGAGGCCAGAGCCACATTCTTGAGAACGGCCCGTCCTCTGTCGTCCTTCTATAGCGGCCGTACGCGCGGAAGACGACTGGGCGCGCAAGGGGGCGAGAGCCACATTGTGGAAATCAGGGCTGGACCTAAACTACGTTTTTGGCGATTTCGTGGGCCGTTTTCGTTTCGACTTCGTTTTGCGGTAAAGGCGGATTCGAGACAAACGCGAGGGAGCACGAAGACAAAACGAAAACGACAAACACCGTTTAGGTTCAGCCCTGGTGAAAACCACCTGCCCTCCACCTGTGCAGCCGTTGTTTCTTTAGGCACGGATCGCCCTGCCAAAGCGTCCTGTGGCTCGGCGAGAAGGGGTGGTCTAATCGCCGTCGGCCCATCCCGCCACCGTGCCCGGGTTGCAGGTCAGAGGCCTCTTGGGAGGCCTGTTGAGATCTTTTGGGAGGCCGCTCGGAAGCCTCCCTGATGCAGTTTAGGGGTATCCGGGGGCCTCTCGGGGCCTCTCGGGGCATCTTCCGGTGCTCTTTGGTGGCCTCCTGGGGCTCCTTAGGGGCCTATTGGGGGCATGCTGGCGGTCTCGGGGGTCATCTTGGGGTGGAGAGCTCAACATGTCAGTTTGTGTTCCCCCTCTGGGGCCTTCTGAGGGCTCTCTCTGGTGGCCGTCTTGGGGGCATCTTGGGCCATCTTGGGCCGCCTGAGGGCCCTCTTGGGCGAGCCTGGGGCGATCTTTGGGCCGTCTTGGAGCGTCGTAAGCCCGAAACGGCGAGAGCGCCAAGATCTGACAAACACCTTCGGGGAATCAGCGATGTTGGCCTCTGGGGCGTCTTGGGGGCCCCTTTGGGGGCTGCCTGGGGGCCATCTTGGGCGTCTTGGAGCGGTCTTTCGGTGACTCGGTGCCCTTGTGGACCATCTGCGGGGCTCCCTGGGGCCCTCTTTTTATTTGTTCGGGGGGCCTCCTGCAGCCGGGACAGTCTCGCGGGGAACCCCTGAGAGCGCCCAGGAGCGCCCCAGAGCGCCCCGGGACTCGGGGCTGTGGGTCCCCTGGAGGGCAGTTCGGTATTCAATTCCGAGAAATCGAAGGGATTTGAGGATATTCCACTTCGTGCCTCGAGGCACGGCGGATACATAGGGGAGACGGATGGGAGACGAAGGAGCAGGAGAAGGAGGAGGAGGAGGAAGAAGAGGAGGAGGAGGAGGAGGAGGAGGAGGAGGAGGATCCTGCAAAGCCCGACTGCTCCAGGTTTGCATTGGCCCGGGTCAGTGCGTCCCCGAGGGCACTCGGTGGGGCGCCGCTCGCGCTGGCGTCGGGCGCCAGCCGACGGGTCCTCGGCCGCAGGGAAGGGCAGCGCACGGGCACTGCTCGTTTTGTTCTTGAGGGCCCGCGCACAGGCGGTGTTGCGGGGCGCGCCGTCCGATCGTGGACCTGCGCCGCGCGGTCGGGAAGACAAGGAAAGGAACGGAGGCGGAGGGGGGAGGAGGAGGAGGAGGAGGAGGAGGAGGAGGAGGAGGAGGAGGAGGAGGAGGAGGAGGAGGAGGAGGAGGAGGAGGAGGAGGAGGAGGAGGAGGAGGAGGAGGAGGGGAGGAGGAGGAGGAGGAGGAGGAGGAGGAGGAGGAGGAGGAGGAGGAGGAGGGAGGAGGAGGAGGAGGAGGAGGAGGAGGAGGAGGAGGAGGAGGAGGAGGAGGAGGAGGAGGAGGAGGAGCCAGAGGAGGACTCTATCCTCCGGGCTCCTGTCCCTTCTCCTCTGTGTTCCGTCCTCTGTCCTCCGTCCTGCGTTACCTGTCCCACGTCCTGCCTCCTGTGCCGCCCTCAGGAGGCGAATGTGAAGACCAACCTTCAAAAGATCGCGGAATTGCTTCAGAAAGAGGCCAGATGGACGCTTTTCGCGCCGACGCTTCCAGCGGTTGCGGATGAAAGAAGCGATGTGCGTCCACATGTGGGGGGAGGGATCGGAGGAGGACGAGGAAATGGGTCTGCCTGCTTCTTGTTGCGTGAAGGTCTCACCTGACAGCCTGGGCCGCTTCTGGTGCAAACGGACCAGGCTGTTTTCGGGCGTCTGCCGAGACAGGTCGAGAACATCCTGGCAGGATGTTTTCAAACTTCTGCTTCCAGAAGCCCCCCGCCATCTGGCACGGTCAAAGCCAGCCGTGCGGATTCTCGGGCCTCGCTGGGCACCCTCGGGCACCTTCGTCGGACGCCCTCGAAGCACCCTTGTCTTTCACCCCCCTCGTTGGATGCCTACTTCTACAGAGTACTTCTCTCCGCTCGAGCGCGGGCTTGTTTCCAAATCCGGGCTGGCGAAGCGTCCATGGCGACGACAGCAGTTCCCGCTCGATGCTCACACTTTGCCCCGGTAGCGCCCCTCGCGGGGGTGGAGGCCAACTAGATGCAGTACTCTTCTGGAGCGTCGTGCTGTCCCCTCCTCTGGTGCCCTCTGCGCCCGCGGAGGCCAAGCGCGAGGACACTTTTTACGTCGCAGCGCGGCAGGGTCCGCCTGCACGCGCGCTCAGGTGGCCTGGGCAACGGACAGCACGAATCAGCCGGCGGCAGGAGGAGGGCAGGACAGGCGAGAGCGGCCACGACGCAGGGGCTTGGCATCGCTCGGACGTGTGCGGTTTTCCTTCGGCGAGGACCATCGAGGAGCATCCTTGATCATTTGGCGAAAGAACCACGCACGAAACCGAAAAGAACACAGGGAATGGACGTCCGAGCTATGGCCAGGGGGGGGGGCGGGATGGTCCTCACGTGGCGAGGTGCGTCGCCGTGGAGCGGCTCGGGCGGCCAGCCAGTGCTGCAGCCTGGCGGCGTCACGGCCACGCCCAGCGGCCGCAGGGGCTGCGGTGCACGCAGCTAGAGGAGGCACCGTGCCGGGGCAGGGAACGAATGGCCGCGTCGACGACGTCCCGGCCCAGCGGGGGGCCAAGAGGTTGGCTGGACCCGCGGCGGCAAACTGCAGCGAGGATGGCCGAGGGCCGGCTGGAGGGGGCCGGCAGTGCTGCCTGCTCGTGGCGGGGGCGCAGTGGCGCGCCCACCCAGCAGCGCAGCGGACAGCACGCAAGGCGTAAGGAAACGCGCTGGGGCCGAAAGTGCACGCGATGGAGTGGAGATCCGGGGCCCGGGAAGCGCGGGGGGGTGGCCGGAGGCCTCTGGAGTCCTCCTCCTCCTCCTCCTCGTCCTCCTCCTCCTCCTCTTCCTCCTCCTCCTCGTCTTCCTCTTCGTCGTCTTCCTCCACCGTCTCCTCCTCCTCCTCCTCCTCCTTCCTCCTCCACCCCGAAGGCTCTCGGACAGTTCCAGCAAGGCTCTCGGAAAGTCAGAGGGATGCCGCGGACATCCGGAGACTGAAATTCCTTGCTGCTCGGTCTTCGGGCCCCGTCCCCAGAACGCCGACGCAGTGTCTACTTCGCAGTGTCGGCGCCCTCGCGGTCGTGATCTTTTCCCGCCTGTTTCCTGTTCGCGCTGCGATTTTTTTGCTGGTTGATGCTTCGTTCCTCTTCACCCTCCTCGTCCTTGAGATGTTCATCCCGCTTCTGCCCTTTCCCTCGTCCGTGTCATTGGCCTCGCCCTCCCCCCCTTCCTTTTCCTCCTCCTTTTCCTGCTCCTCCTCCTCCTCCTCCTCCTCCTCCTCCTCCTCCTCCTCCTCCGCTGCCTGCTGGTCGTACACCTACCTCCCTTTCCTCCCCATGCTTGTCCTCGTGACTCTTCCCTTTTATCCTTCTCCTCTTCTTCCTCATCTTCCTGCTTCTCCTCCTTTTCCTCCCTCTTTCCGCGCGATGGACCATGGAACCTCCTGGGGCTTTCTGGGACTTCCAGTGGCCTCCTGGGACATCCTTGGGCCTCCTGGAGCCTCCTGGGGCCTCCCGGGACATCCTAGGGCGTTATGAGCCCCCCTGGGACTTCCGGATGCTGCCGGATGCTTCCTTGGACCTCCTGGGGCCTCCTGGAGCCTCCTGGAGCTTCCAGGCGCATCCTGGGACTTCCCAGGGCCTCCTGGGGTGTTTTGAGCTTCCTCAGGGACTCATGCGGTCTCCCGTGGCCTCCATGGGCCTTTGTGAGGCCTCCCGGCGCCTCCTGGGGCCTCCTGGGGTAGGCCGTCGAGTGCCAACCGAGAGAGACCGCTCCAGGGGGCTCAGAGGTGGAAGTGGGATTTACCGGCACCGCAACCCTCTCTCGTTTTCCTTTCTGGGCTTACTGGGAGGCCCTTGTCGCCACCGCTGGATTCGCTTCGAAATTCTGGTCAGAACGCACCCCGGGAGAGGTCCGGGGAGTAGCGGTATCGGAACCTTCTGGTTTCCCCACGAGCGGTCCCCCGCGTTGTTGTGCGATTTGGCTTCCCCGGGACGTCCTGGTGACTCCTCTAATGGTCATATGCATTCTTGCACCCAGGCATGTCGCGCTCGCCCGAGACTTCCTCGCAACTCATTCTGATGAGCGCCCAGGCTGAACGACAGCGCCTCTCGCTCGATACGTCCTCACTGTTTGCTCTGAGGCGCCCTGGGCCCCCCAGAACTCAGGAACGGCGATCTCCTGAGACTTCCCGGCAATTCACGCAGTTCACTCGAGTTGGGGTGGCTTGCCCGCAGGCGCGTTAGCTCGCCCGACGGCCATGGCGGCGCGCGTGCGCACTCAGAGTGCACAGCGGCATACTTCTCCCAGGGGCTGGAATGGCAAGAAGCTCCCCCCCCCACCACACTGGAAAAGGTGTCAGTTCATAGGCTCAGCGGGCGGGTACACGGGAGAAGGAGATACGAACTGAGTACAAGACAATGGAGCTTGTCAGACCACGTGTTCGCAAGATGGTCGTCGTCGTCGTCCTTGTCATCGTCTTTATCCTTGTCCTCATGAGGATGCGGACCAGGAGGAAGAAGGAAGATGGATGGTGAGGAGGGATGCGAGAATACCACCCCCCTCCGTCCGTGAAGGACTGGAGCCGTGTGTGCAAAGTCAGAGCCTTAAATTATCAGGAGGGGAAAAAACACACAGATACAATTAATCGTCGATTCCCCAGAAAATATGGGAAAATATGGGAGTTGGGGGGGAAGACGAAAACCCACAACATATGGGAACATATGGGGGAATCCTTTTATCTGTGTGTATTGATTCGTGTGTTCCAGGGCCCTTCAAACTTTGTCATCAACCTCGCCCTTTTCTTGGTATGATCAACCGAAGAGCTTCCTTTCTCTCCGCTTCTGCTCCTCGGTGCGCCGCTCGCGTTCCCGTCCCGCTCTTATCCTTCGCCCCCCTTTTCTACCCTCAGCCACTCCCTGCCCCCATTCTCCGTCATTCGGTTGGCCCCAGAGGTGGCCCTCGTGGCTTTTGTATCGGACCTCCCCTCCTCTCTTCTTCGTCGTCCGTCCCCTGCGTGACTGTCAAGACCGTTGTGGCACATGCACGACAAAAAACACAACACAATATGTTCTGTCATGTTCTGCTCGGGTATGTTCTGTGATATGCTGGTGTCCTCTATTTTGTCATGATGTTGATCTGTTATGTTCTGCCATGTTCTGTCATGCCCTTGCTCTGTTCTGTCATGTTCTGTTGTGTCATATTGTGTTTTGTCGTGTCGAGGGCGCGAGGCGGGGCACCCGGGATTATCGGGACAACTTGGGGTCTGGCGGCCGCGGTATGCAGGGTGTGTTCTGTCGTGTTTGTCGAGGGCGCGAGGCGGGAAAACCGTGACACTCGGGACAATTTGGGGTCTGGCGGCCGCGGTATGCAGGGTGTGTTCTGTCGTGTTTGTCGAGGGCGCGAGGCGGGATAATTGGGACACTCGGGACAACTTGCGGTCTGGCGGCCGCGGTATGCAGGGTGGGAGTGGCCAGGAGGTCTGTTCCTAAAATCTAGCGACCCCAACCTGTCCGATGGGGAACAACACAAGAAAAACAAAATAACACAAAAGAGCAAACGAATACTGGACGGAACATAAAAAACAAAACAACAAAAACAAAAACCACACACACGCACACAAACATGACTCAAATATCGCTCTGACTTTGCACACACACACACAATTGGAGGAGGAGAAGGCTTAGGAGGAGGAAGCGTGCAGCCTCTTCGGAAGCCTCCCCCCCAAGGTAACTTTGCTCCCGTCCCAGATCCTGACCCCCGGGGGTCCCCCTGGAGGCCCCCGGAGGCCCGAAGAGGGCGGGCAAGTTCCAAGAACCGTCCGAAAACCTCCGAAAGCCTTCCTCGATCCTCGAGGAGGGCCTGGGGCAGAACTCAGCACCCCCTCTCCCCCCGCCTTTGCTGGACGCGCCTCCTCCTCCTCCTCCCTCCTCCATCCTCCTCCTCCTCCTCCTCCTCCTCCTACCCTCCTCCTCCTCCTCCTCCTCCTCCTCCTCTCCTCCTCCTCCTCTCTCCCTCCTCCTCCTCCGCCTCGTCCTCCTCCTCCTCCTCCTCCTCCTCGCCTCCTCCTCCCTCCTCCTCCTCCTCCTCCTCCTCCTCCTCCCTCCTCCCTCCTCCTCCTCCTCCTCTCTCCTCCTCCTCCTCCTCTCTCCTCCTCCTCCTCCTCCTCCTCCTCCTCCTCCTCCTCCTCGTCCTCCTCCTCCTCCTTCTCCTCCCCCTCCCTCTCGCCCCTCTTGGCCGCGCCTTTGCTGGACGCGCCTCGGGGGCAGCCCGCTGCTCTGCCGGCAGCACGCGTTCGCCCGGCGGCCTCGGCCGCCGCGCGGTGCCCCGAGGGCGTGTTTGCGTGCGCCTGCCTCCCCAGGAGGGCACCCGCCGTCTGCTGCGGTCGAGGCCCGCGATGCGGATGACCATCGACCGGGCCTCGTTCGGTGACCCCGCGCAGTGTCGTTGGCCAACCTCGCATCCTTGCCATCGTCCCCTCTTCTTCTTCTTCTTCTTCTTCTTCTTCTTGTTCGCCGTCGTCGTCGTCACCCTCCGCCCTCGTCCTCCTTCTCCTCCTTCTCCTCTTTCTCCTCCCTCCTCCCCTCCGTGCTGCCGAGGGGTCTCCGTGAATCGAAGGTGCGGACCGCGTGCTAGAAGAGGGAGGCGAAGTTTCACCCAACCAGCCCCGGCTGCCGTACGGAGATCATTGGCGTGCGGCTGCATGAGGAGAGAGGGCGTTCGTGGGGAGCGTGTGCTACCCTGCCCGCGAACTCCGCGTGGGCAGGTCGATGCAGGAGGTGCCTGGGCGCCAAGTGGTGTGAGCGACCCCCAATGCAGATAGAATGTCTATGGCCTTCGGCCCGTTCCGCCACCGTGCCTGAGTTGTGGGTATGAAGCCTATTGTATGTTCGCCGGGATAGGCCTCTTGGAGGCAGTTTGGGCTCTTCTTGGGGGCCGTTTGGGGGACTCTTGGGGCCTCTTTCGGGCCTCTTGGGGGCCTCTTGGGGCTTCTTGTGGGCCTCTTGGGGCGGAGGCTCAGATTTTCGGCTTGTGTTCCCTCTTTTGGGTCTGCTTTGCATCTTTGGGCCCTCTTGGGCCGTTTTGGGAGCCTCTTGGGCTGTCTTGGGGCCCTCTTGGGCCGTTTGGGGGCCCTCTTGGAGGCCTCTTGGGCTGTTTTGGGGCGATCTTGAGGGCCTCTGGGGCCGCCTGGGAGCGTCTGGGAGCCGAAAAGGCGAGAACGCCCAAATCTTTCAAACACCTTAGGAACATCGATGAATGGGGCCCTCTTGGGGGGCCTCTCGGGGGCCTCTTTGGGTGTCTTGGAGGCCTCTTGGGCCCATCTCAGGCGTCTTGGAGCGAGCGTTCGGCGACTCGGGGCCTCCCTGGGCCCTCTTGGTGGGGGCCTCTTGGGGCTCTCCTGGTCGGTCTCGGGGCCCTGGCGGGTCCGAGCAAAAAGTCGGGCGGGAAGCCGCGGCAGCCCCGGGGGTCACGCGCCAAGCCCAAGACGATTTGAGCATTCGGGGTCCCGTCCCCAGAAGAGAGGCTCCGCAGGACTGAGGGCTGCGGCTCGGGGGATTGGGCAAAGGACCCGAGGGCACGCCCACTCCGTGTCCAGAGGCACGCTGGCGGATGTGTGTGGTTCGAACGCTACGCAGCGCTAGCATGTGCGAAGTGGCCCAACAGTCGGCCCGTTTGCTCGATCGATCGATCCCTCTCCCCCTTCCTCCTCTCCTGTTCTTGCGGATGCGGAGAGAGACCCTCTGGCTCCCAAGCCAGGCGAGCGAGCGAAAAAGTTCTGCCATCAGGCTTAATCCTCTTCGTCCGCCTCCTCGTCCTGGCCAGTGGGACGTCTTGGGCGCGGCCTCAACGACGCCCCGCGTATATACATCTATAGATAGGTCTTCATGGGTTGAAGGTCAGAGGTCAGAGGTCTCGGGAATGCCTGTGCGAATCTTGTGGGAGGCCTCTCGGAAGCCTCTTGGATTCGGTCTTGAGGGCCTCCTGGGGGTCTCTTGGGGGCCGCTTGGGGCTTGATTTGAGCCTCTTGGGAGCCTTCTGGAGCTTGTGGGGGGCCTCTTGGGGACCACCTGGCGGTCTCGGGGGCCATGGGGCGAAGGGCTCGACATGTATTTTCGTGTTCCCTATCTGTGACCTCTCTTCGGACCGTCGTGGGGGCCTCCTGGAGCCCTCTTGGTCCGCCTTGCCGCCCTCTGGCCTTTGGGACAGTCTCGCGACCGACCCTACGAGCGCCCAGCAGCGCCTAAGAGATGATATTTGTTGTTGTGTGCCCCTTAATCAAACAGTACACAATGCAGAGAACTCGAAGGAACCTGAAGACACTCACAGCACTGCGCTTCTTCGCCCAGGCCGCTAGTTTATTCAACCAGACGTCGCGATCACCATCATACCAAAGTCCGCGCAACGTCAAACATGGAGGATGAGGAGGTGATCATGTTTGATCCATTGTTTTGCCGATCGGCGCGGGCCCCCCAACCCCATGGAGTAGATCTTGGCTGTTTTTTGGCGCCTGTGTCGAGCGGGTGGGGTCCCTCCCCAAGAGGCAGCACTGCTGCAAACAGGCTCACTGACCCCCCCCTCCCCCCCCTCTCCGCCCAGCTGTCGAAACGCCGACGTAGAACACGTTCGCGAGGACGACGAGGATGCGGAGGAGCTGTCAGGCGCTCGCCCCCTTCGCGAAGTCCCTGATGGACGGGCCTCCCACCGAGCTGTCGTGCAACCTGGCCCTCCTGGGCGCGCCGCCGCCCCCGTGGGCTTGGGAGTGGCGAGGGCCGGGGACCGATCGGGGGATCGAGGAGATGGCGAATGAGCGAGGGGGGTGAAATCTAGGAGGGGCTGGGGGAGTGTGGGGTGTGCTGAGGATGACCTGGGAGGAGGAGGAGGAGGAGGAGGAGGAGGAGGAGGAGGAGGAGGAGGTGGAGGAGGAGGAGGTGGAGGAGGAGGAGTGTCGAGGGGGATCGAGGATTACGTAGGAGGAGGAGGAGGAGGAGGAGGAGGAGGAGGAGGAGGAGGAGCAGGAGGAGGAGGAGCAGGAGGAGGAGGATGAGGAGGAGGAGGAGGGGGGCCAAGGGGGAGAATTATGAGTGTGAGGAGGTGGAGGACGAGGACATTACTGATCATCGATCAGGACCCAGGAGGAGGGATGATGCTGCTGCTGATGATGATGATGAGGTGGAGGATGAGGATGACGATGATGATTCTCATGGTGCTGGTGGTGGTTATGCTGCTGCTCATGATGATACTGATGCTGATGATGACGATGCTGATGATGCTGCTGATGCTGATGATGTTGTTGATGCTGATGATGTTGTTGATGCTGTTGATGATGACCATGATGGTGATCGTAATTGTCCAGCTGATGATGAGAACGCTGCGGATGATGACGGTGATGATGATGATGTTGTTGATGTTGATGATGATATTGATAATGACGTAGCTGATGCTGCTGCCGATGATGAGGATGAGGATAATCGATGCCGATACTGCTGATGCTGATGATGATGATGATGATGATGATGATGATGGTGATGCTTTTAAAGAGGATGATGTTGCTGATGATGTTGTTGATTCTGGCGATGGTAATCACGCTGCTGCTCATGATTACAATGTCGACAACGATGACTCTACTAATGATGATGCTCATGATGATGCTGATGCTGATGAGGATGGCGATGCTGATGATGTTGTTGATGCTGTTGATAATGACCATGATGGTGATCGTAATTGTCCTGCTGATGATGAGAACGCTGCGGATGATGACGGTGATGATGATGATGATGATGATGATGATGATGATGATGATGAGGAGGTTGATGATGATATTGATAATGACGTTGCTGGTGCTGCTGCCGATGATGAGGATGATGATAATCGATGCCGATACTGCTGATGCTGCTGATGCTGATGATGATGGTGATGCTTTTAACGATGATGATGTTGCTGATGCTGTTGTTGATTCTGGCGATGGTAATCACGCTGCTGCTCATGATTACAATGTCGACGACGATGACTCTACTAATGATGATGCTCATGATGATGCTGATGCTGATGCTGATGTTGATGGCGATGCTGATGATGATGGTGATGATGATGGGGAGGAGGATGGGACGCCGGGATGAGGACGAGGAGGAGGGCATTCGAATCTTTAGGATGTCCTTGGAAGTTTGGAGGTGTCATGGCTGCAGGAGGCGCCTATGGTGGGACATGAGGATCGAGGAGGAGAGGATCAAGGATGAATGGGATAAGGATCGAGGAGGAGGAGGACGACGAGGATTGGTCAGACGGACTAGGATGAGGCTGATGCGGACTGGTGGGACGGAGAAGGAGGGGGAGACGAATGAGAGCGAGGAAGATCGGGGACGAGGTGGTGTAAAAGGAAGGCCGAGAAGGGGGAGGAGGAGGGTAGAGGGACAAGGGGAGAAGGAGGAGGAGGATGAGGAGGAGGAGGAGGAGGAAGACCAGTGCAAACCCACGACGCATCAACGATACTGCAGTACACACTCCCTCCAAGGTCTCTCTTCATAGCTCCCCCATAGGAGTTAACTTCATTGAGGGACGTGGTCCATTAGAAGTCAATCGTGTGAAAGTCATTAACCGTGACGAAACACAGTTCGTGGGACCTCAGCGCCGCGGGTCAACGCGACTGTTGCGCCCCGGCAGCCAGAAATCGTGTCATAAGGTCGTTTATGAGACTTCATCAACACCGCAACTCAACACGGCTCTTAGGTCCTGGCAGCCCTACGTCGAGCTGCAGCACAGTTTCTGGGGCTGCGACCACATGAACCTTTGAAACTGCTACAGGCTTTGGCGATGAATGTGCGCGGCGCTCAGGCGAGGGCCACAGTGTGAAAAGGAGCCGCCTTTCATCCGTGAGATGACTACAACCTTTTGGGGCGAGTGCGTGCGGCGCTGTGGCGAGAACCGCGATTTGAGAGCGGCCCGCCCTACGTCCGTGACGCTGGGGCGAACTTTTAAGAAGACGAGTGTGCGCGGCGCGTCGGCGAGAGCCACGTGCTGAAAACGGCCCGCCCTCCACCCGTGAAGCTATTCCAACTGTAAGAACGACCCGCCCCTGAAACCGGCCCGCCCTTGAAGCTGTTGCACATTTCAAGCTCCAGGGCCAGGCGCGGTGAGGAAGCCTCAGGCGAGACGCCCGACCCGCCCTACCAGCTTGTCTGGGGTTGCGATAAGGAGGAGCTATGTATAAGAAAAAGGGGCGGGGGGGGAGGGGGAGGAGGAGGAGGAGGAGGAGGAGGGGGAGGAGGAGAAGCAGGAGGAGGAGGAGGCGGAGGAGGAGGAGGAGGAGGGGGAGGATGAAGAGGAGGAGGAGGAGGAGAGGGATGATGATGCTGCTGATGATGATGCTGATGATGATGAGGAGGCGGAGGATGAGGAGGAGGAGGACGAGGCGGAGGAAGTGAAGATGCCAACGTTGGGTGAGGGCGAGGAGGAGGAGTCAGAGTTGGACGAGGAGGAGAAGGAGGAGGGGGATGAGACGAAGGAGGATGAGGATGCGAACGAGATCGAGTAGGAGAGGGAGGAGAATGAGCAGGAGGAGGCGGAGGAGGAGGATGAGAGGGATGATGACGACGATGATAATACTGATGATGATGCTGATGACGATGATGATGATGCTGATGATGATGCTGATGATGATGACGATGCTGATTACGATGATGATGATGCTGATGATGATGATGATGATGATGCTGCTGCTGCTGATGATGATGATGATGACGATGATGATGATGATGATGATGGTGATGGTGATGGTGATGGTGATGGTGATGGTGATGGTGATGGTGATGGTGATGGTGATGGTGATGATGATGATGCTGATGATGATGATGATGACGCTGATGCTGGCGATGATTATGATGATGATGATGATGATGATGATGATGATGATGATGATGATGATGATGATGATGATGATGATGGTGATGGTGATGATGATGCTGCTGATGATGATGATGATGATAAGGATGCTGATTTTGATGATGATTATGCTGATGATGAGGGTGATGATGAGGATGAGGATGAGGATGAGGATGATGATGACGATGATGATCATGATGATGCTGATGATGATACTGGCGATGCTGCTGATGATGATGCTGATGATGATGATGATGCTGATGATGATGCTGATGATGTTGATGATGATGATGATGATGCTGATGATGATGATGATGCTGCGGCTGATGATGTTGATGATGCTGCTGCTGATGATGATGATGATGATGATGCTGATGATGATGATGATGCTGATGCTGATGATGATGCTGCTGATGATGCTGCTGATGATGATGATGATGATGCTGATGCTGCTGATGATGATGAGGAGGAGGAGGAGGCAGAGGAGGTGGAGGAAGCGGAGATGTCAGCGTTGGGTGAGGGCGAGGAGGAGGAGGAGGAGGAGGAGGAGGAGGAGTTGGACGAGGAGGAGAGGGAGGAGAAGGATGAGGAGAAGACGGAGGATGAGGAGGCGAAAGAGATGGAGGAGGAGGAGGAGGAGGAGGAGGAGGGAGCAGCAGGCAGAAGTCTTGGCCCTGCCTATGCTTAGCTTTACTCGACCCTTTGGGGAACCACTTCAGGACACGATAGAGTCTAGATTCAATGTGGCCTACATCGGTATTCGCAGGTCTACCTCGGGTATGGCCAAGGCTAACGCGCTGACCATGGACGCACTCAGGGGATACTCGTCCAGGCCTATTGTGTCCCACCACTGCTCATCTGTTGTATGTTCGCCTGGCTTGGGCATCCCCCCGATATTGCTTGCCCGTGCCCCCCTTCCACGTCTCACCACTCTGGGTTTCTGGCTGGAAGCTGATCAGGGTTGGTCCAGCACGACTGTGGACGATTATGCTTGGTCCAATGCTTTCTTGATGGCTCGAAGGTCTGATGGGGGGGGTGGCTTCCTTGACGACGAGACACCCGGCAGAGAGGACTCGAATTGCCAGATAAAGGCCGAGAGAAAGGAAGCGATGCATCAACTTTGCCACGCGCAGGTTTTTTTGGATGGGTGCGGGGGAGGAGGAGGAGGAGGAGGAGGAGGAGGAGGAGGAGGAGGAGGAGGAGGGGGAGGGGGAGGAGGAGGAGGAGGAGGAGGAGGAGGAGGAGGAGGAGGAGGAGGAGGAGGAGGAGGAGGAGGAGGAGGGCGAGGAGGAGGACGAGGAGGATGAGGAGTTGTTAGTTTACGTTTCTTGGGGTGGGTACAGGAAGCTAAGTTTCTTCTTGAGCAGTGGCGCCATCAGCTGGCTCGAGCCTGCGGAGGCCACGGCGCCTCCCCACGCTCTTGCGAAGCCCCGCCGCGGCTGATCCCCTGCTGCCTGCGTGGGCTACCTGTGTTGCCTGGTGGTGTGGCCCCTTCTCCCCCCCGCTCCGTGGCCGCCTTGCTTCCCCGTTCTCAGGGCTCGTTTCGATTCATCCGAGTCGATGCGATTCATGTCGATGGCCGATCCGACTTGTCGATTCGATTCCAGGCAGCCCTGCGTTCTCCCCTTCTGTACGCTGGCCAATTCGCTGTTCGGCGCCCCCGTCTAGCTCTCTAGCTGGTGCGGCCAACTCTGCCTCGCCGCCGACGAAAAACAGTGCTGCCTGGAGGTTCGGGACCGTGGGGCACTTACAGTTCATCTTGCGCGTAAGCACCCATCCGCTCTTGGCCTTGTTGTTTCGGGTCAAGTCCGTTCGTGGGAACAACACATGTTTCCCATGCTTCCTGATCTATTCGCGAGGGCCCAGACCGGGTCGGCAGACGCTGATCAGTTGGGTTCACCCCAGGAACCTTGAGCTTAGGCAGCAAGACTGGAATGCTATGGTTTCGGAGCGCCGAGAAATCCGAAGAGCTGGCCATCCTGAGCATTACGTCCACCCCCCTGCCGAAAGTAATGCGGGGCCAACGCGTCCTACTCTGAGAGTGGGAGGAGATGACGCTTTGGTTCCCTCACCCTTACCTGCGGCTGCAGCTATCCCCACCCCGGTCACGGTCATCTCCCAGCCTACAGTCGAGGAGGTAATGTATTTTCTGCGCTGATTTTCGGGTGTCATGCGAAAAAGGGCGACTTTCAGGCCGCATTAGAAGCGGCGCAAGCGAATTACTTGTGCAGGATGGTGGTCCCCCTGGGCACAACCAGCGATGACATGTTGTGCGACCTCCAAAGACAAATCCTTGGATTGTTTGATGGCCTTGATTCCGCAAGGTCAGGTATCGGGGATTTGGATGGGCCCCCTTGTGAGACGTGGAGCAGAGCCCGTCTTCTAGCTTTGGATTCCTCTGACCCCAACCCCCAGGCCCTTGCGTTCTTTGGACCGGGCAAGGGGCTTGCCTGATTTCAGGCCCACTCGCCAGGTTGCTACGTGAAATGCGTTACTCGGTGCGGGACACCAGCGTCTTCTTGTACCACGCTGCGGCGTGCACGTCCCTGCGGCCATGGAACGCCCCGAGAACCGCGCCGTCGTGTGGGAAGCTGCGCGGATTCCAACACCTTTTGTCGCTTCCAGGAGCCGGGGGTCTCCGCCTCGATCACTGCATGTGTGTGGAGGGTGGGCACCATGAAAGAGGCCCCATATGCCACCAGCCATCCCCTGTCCTTGCAGGAGGCCGTGAGCGTTTCCAGGAAGGGTGGCAGATGTGCTCTCGGTGGGGGGCGCGCAAGGTACTGGGGGGCCGAGTGGAGGCCGGCGACTGGCGCATTGCCCCCGCCAAGTGCTACCCGCCCGACATGTGCAACCGTGTCGCCGATGCTTGTTCTTCAGACCGGTCAAACCCGCTGTCCGAGGATGTGGGGCTTCCTTCTGCTGAAAGTTCCTTATGGAATTTTGCTCTCTTTTGGCACCGTCTGACCCTTAACTATCCTGGGAGGTGGGGAGGGCTTTCGCTGATAGGGATCTAATCAAACTTCCCCGTGCGGGGCACGGGTGGGGACTCGAGAGACAGAACTGTTGCCTCCCTTCGGGGTCAGGGAGTCCCTCAGCTTCCTTTGGCGTGGCGTCCCGAGTTGCACGGCTTGAGAAGGAGGAGGAGGAGGAGGAGGAGGAGGAGGAGGATGAGGAGGAGGAGGTTGAGGAGGAGGAGGAGGAGGAGGAGGAGGAGGAGGAGGAGGACTTGGATCTCTCAGGCGGGCACCCGCCGTGGGGCCCAGTCGTGAGGGCGCGGAGGCGGTGCATGCCCAAAGCAGCTCGCGCTCCCTCGCTCCTCCTTCACGCTGCGCCGCGTGCTCCACCTATGCCGCCCTCATGGGGGGGAACGGCGACACCACCCACTGGTAAGGCTGCCCCTACCCCCCCGGGTAGTGCGGGCTAGCCTCAGCAGGCCCCTCGAGTAGTCTAGGACGGTGCCAACGCCCTGGCGCCGCCTCCGGCGGCGCCACCCCTCCGATTGAGGTGTTGAGACCGCCCTGGACTACTCGGGGGCTGAGGCCAGCTGAGACCGAATGGGGAGGCTGTTTGTGCGCAGCCCGAAGCCTTACCACCACTCACCACTAGCGGGTCGCCTCCAGTGAGGAGGTCCTTAAGGCCTCCCCGAGCTGGAAATGGGATACCTCTCGAGCGGGACGGTGCAGAACAGGATGGCCCTCCCCGGCTCCTCGCGATGGTGGTGGTGCCGATGTTCTTTGCCCCCACTTCGCGCTCTCCTCATCAACCTCATGCTTCCCGTCCTTCTCCCTCGCGAAGAAGTTTACGGCATCACGCGTGCTTCTCGTCTTCCTGGTCGCAGGCATCTCGCAGCGCGTTCGCAGCGGTGGGAATGTGCGTGTGCGGGGTGCTTTGATGCTGTGGCGCACTGGTAGACGCGCGATGGCGACGGCGAGGACGACAACACTCTTACTTATCATGACGTCGCCGACGGCAGCGACGAATACAGTTCTGCAGCTGACGATGACGATGACCATTGACGCCGACGGTTGAAGACGAACGAACACGACGACGATTACAAGGATTATGGCTACGGCGAGGTGGGCTTTTGATCCTTTGAGTGCCGAGTCGAAGGTTTCCGTGCGTGAACGCTAGGAACGAGATATTCACTGGCTGTAAGTTCTTCCAGGACGCTGGCGTTCGACGCTTTGCACCTCTCGAGACTTTCTCTTCTTGTCACTGGCACCACCGCCGGTTTCCCAGAGAGTCAGGGTCCCAGGGTTTTATGCTTCGGTCAGAGGCGAGTGCCGAGGTCTGGATTCCGGATCAAAGGACGTGGTGTGGTCAGAGGGTCACGGATCTGACCTGTCAGCCAGGCAGATCCACGCTGGCAAGGCCTGGGGCTGCCGGCAGAAAGCCCAGGCTAGGCCTGCATCTCGCCTGTGCGCAGCCTCGCCTGTGCGCAGCCCCAAGACCTATCAGGAACATCGGGGAGGCCTTGCGCGGCGGCCATAGTTGTGTGATCTAGTCCGCTCGTCCGCCCCACAAAATATAGGACGCCGTTTGCGCGGTGATGTTTCGACGTAAGTCCGACGTGAATCCGACGTAATCTGATGTCATTTCTCCGTGGGCCCGACGTGTAACCTGGGTCTCAAGTTGCCGCGCAAGGCCTCCAGGGTTTTGTTCAAGAGGAAAAGAAACACACAGACACAATTAATTGTCGATTCCCCAGAAAATATGGGAAAATATGGGAAGTGGGGGGGAAGACGAAACCCAGAACATATGGGGAAATATGGGCAACATTTTTCTTAGTGTGTATTTATTTGTGTGTCCCAGGGCCCGTTAATTTGTTCATAACGCAAGCAGTGCCATGCCCCGCCAGGCGCGAAGGCCGGCATCCTCACCCTGCCCGCCTGGTTCCGCGAGCGGGTGGAGCAGCACGAGGCGCGCCCGCGCGCGCCCCCTCCCCCCCGCGGGCCCGGCCGAGCGGGGCGACCGAGTTTGGCCCTGCCGGGGGAGCCCCCCTCCCGGGGCCCGCCTCCGCTCGTCGGCTCGCGCCTGGCAGCGGCGGCGGCGGCGGCGGCAGCGGCGAGTGACAGCAGCACCGACCGCGGCGGCAAGCGGCAGCGGCGGCGGCGGCGGCGAGCGGCAGCTGCGGCGCGGCAGCGGTAGCGGCGGCGGCAGCGGACGCGGCGGCGGCTGCGAGCGGCGACCCGCAGCGGCCCGCCAGCGGCAGCGGCCAGCGGCGGCAGCTGCGGGGGGCGGCGGCGGCTGGCGGAGGCGGCGGCTGGCAGCGGCGGCCCGCGCAGGACACCGGCGCGCTCGGCATCGCCGCCTTCTGCTCTTCGCGCCTGCAGCGCCGCCTCAGCGGCGGGCGAGGAGCTGCTCGCTGTTGTCGTTGTCGCCGTCGTTGTCGTTGTCGTCGTTTGTCGTTGTCGCTGCCATTGCAGTCGTCGTCGTCGTCGTTGTCGTCGTCGTCGTCGTCGTCGTCCTCGTCGTCGTCCTCGTCCTCGTCCTCGTCACCGTCGTCGTCGTCCTCGTCCTCGTCCTCGTCCTCGCCACCGTCGTCCCCGAAGCCGTTGGCGTTGTCGTCGTTGGGTGTCGTCGTCGTCGTCGTCGCCGAAGTTGTCGGCGTCGCTGCTATCGTCGTCGTCGTTGGCGCTATTGTTGTCGTCGTCGCTATGCTCGTGCTCTTTGTCGTCGACGTCGTCGTCGTCGTCGTCGTCATCGGCTCCTCGTCGCCATCGTTCCCATCTTTTTCCATACTTGCCCAGGGCTGTTGCCTATAGCTCGTCATCGACATCCGCCCGCATCGCCCGCTTCGGTTTTGTCACCGCCTGCCATGGGAGATCAGTGCAAATTCTCAGAGAAAGTCGAGGAGAACGAACATCTCGAACTGTGGGTGGACTGGATAAACCGAGTCACACATTACATGGACGATCAAATTCTCCAGCTCGGTGTCGACGACTGGTGTTCTGCGTGGCGCCGCAGAGTCTGGAAGTTTGCGTTGCGAGTTGTGCAACTGTCCGTCGACCGCTGGGCTTGCAGAGCAGCGAAGTGGAATCCGGAAGACCATGTGCGCCGGAGGGGCATGCGACCGATCCGTCCGAAGAGGAGATGGTGTGACGAAATTGTTGACGCTTCGCGAATCCGCACCAGCCAATTCGCATGCGTGCTTCCCTGGATCAGATCTCTGTCAGCTGCAGCCTGCACCCCCCTGCGCCGGCCTGTCCGCCAGGGCGCAACCTGAGGTCGCCGGCCCGTCGGCGTTAGGTAATTCGGCTCTTGCGCGGCTCACTTGGACCTGACTCGCCGCTGGCGCTCTCGCCTGCGGTTGCGACAATAAAGAATCCCCACCGGCCCATCCAGAAACGATGCCCAGAGGAATTGCCTCGATCAGGGAAATGGGCAGCACACAGATGAAGCCATTATGAGACATCTTGGGATATCTTGAGCCATCTTGGAGGTCATCTTGGGCTCTCCCAGGCGCTCATGGAGTAATCTTAATCAGTGCCCCCCCCCAAGAGGGCAACATGTGGCTAAAACTTTCGTAGAATCAATGATTTGGCATTCTCACCGAGGCCTCTTGGAGCATCTTGGGTGCCTCTGGGGGGTCTCTTGGGGCCTCTTGGGGGTCTCTTGGGAGCCTCCTGGAGACATCCTGGGGGCCTCTTGGGGCTTCCTGGCCACCTCTTGGGCCTCTTGGGGCACCTTTGGGAACCTTGGGGGCCATCTTTGGGCCATCTTGGGTGAGATCGATCGCAGGGGGGGGGTGTTCAATTAGCGTCCCCTCCCCCCCCCCGGAGGCCAAAATGGAACCAAAACCATGGTAAAATCAATGATTGTGGCTTCCTCGCCGAGGCCGTTTTGAACGCTCCGACGATTCGCGAAACCCCTCTGTCCAGGTCCAGGGGAAGGGGGTATGGGGGAGGGGCAAGCCCCTGCCCGAAGGGGAAGAAGGAGGGGTGGAAGAGGGAACTCTCTAAAGCACCTACGCCAAGAGGGCTGGTGGGATTTGTGATTTTCTGCGCTCTCGCGGAATAGCGGCCACGCCGTTGAACTGGTGTGAATATGCTCGTGACACCACGGCTTGGCGAACATGGGAATCTGAGTTTTGCAGGATGCGCTCGAGTAGCGCCACGGTGCTTTTCCAACCTTCCCCGTAGGCTGCACAGGCTCACCTGATGCGGTGGTCCGTCCGTCCGTGCTGCCTATAGCTGCAGGATCCAGTTGTTCTGAAAGCCATCGCGGCCTATGCCTGGCTGCTCATTCTCTCTCTCTCTCTCTAGATATATGTATATAACATATATATATACATATATATATGTGTGTGTACACGTATTGTTATACATTTTTTCACCCTCTCTCTCAACCTCTCTCTGTTTGTTCTCTCTCTTTTTCTGTCGCTCTCGCTCTCTCTCCCTCTCTTCCTCTCCCTCTCTCTCTCTCTCCCTCTCTCTCTCTCCTCACCCCAGGCATCCTCTCTCCCTCCTTTTTGCGAAGTGGTCTGGTGCAAAGAAAGTCGCACCCTCGGAGGTCAAGTCTTCAGTCCCTTCCAGCTCCCCGGGGCCTGCGTGCTGCGGGTCTGTGCTGCGCCGTCCTTGATGCGAGTAGCTGGGCGCCTTTGCGATGTCTGGCTCAACTCGAGGTGATGTGCGCGTCGCTCGTTGCGTGCTTGACTGCGCGACCAGCAGCCGTGCGCCAGCTTTCGGCACGGCGCCTGGGCAGAACATACGCTTACACAGTAAGAGATGCACGCGACCTGCGCCATGGCGGGCCTGCGATGCTAAGACGAAAACGCAACGCGACCTGCTTGGCACCTGCTGGGGTGCCCTTGTGGCCACGGCCAGATTTGCTGAGGGCATCCTCATCAGAGCACGCCCCTGGGAGACGTGCGCGACGTGCGCGGGGGTGGCGATGAGGGAGGATGAGGCTGCTATCTGCTCCGGCGTTTGTAAAGGCCGCGACGGGCGTTGCGGCCCCAGCTTCGGGCCGCGGGGACCCCTGCGGATGAATAGCCAGCTCGAGAGCTGCAGCAGAAAGACGGTGTCGAGAGCTCGAGTCGTACATGGAAGCCGGGAAAAGTGACTGGGGCCAGGCCCTCCACTCTTTCCAGCCCTGTCCAGTTTCAAGTTTTCTCAGCCCTGGCGACCGCATCCCTACTGTTTCGGGCTCGCTTCGCCCACTGCCGTTTTTTTCCAGCCCTGGCCACTTCCACTTTCCACTGACTTTTCAACTTTCACTGCTTCCAGCTTCCCTATGCCCCCGTGGTCTTTGGCTTGAGTCGGGCGTATCCCTCTACAGGAAGAAGATTCAAAAACAATCAAAATATAATCTGGGGATACATATTTATATAATGTATATATATACACACATAGATGTATGTGTACATACATATATACATATATACACATATATATATATATATAATATTTTTGTTAACAACCATAGATTTGAGTATTTTTGAGCATGTTTGGAGTTTTTCTTCCGTCCAAAATCCCCCTGTAGGGGGACACGCCCGACTTCATCCTTGGCCAGAGGAGCTCCCCGGCGACGGGCGTCGGGGCCCCGGGACTCCGCGCGTCGGTCGGTCGGTCGGCCAGCCCTCCTCCTCATGCTCCTGGAGGGGGGACCCGTGATGGGCCCTGTTTTCCACCACCACCACCACCATGAGTTGGATGGGGGAAAGGGGGAGGACGAGGAGGAGGAGGACGAGGAGGAGGAGGAGGAGGAGGAGGAGGAGGAGGAGGAGGAGGAGGACCCCCTCCCCCTCCAACATATGGTGGTGGTGGTGGTGGTGGTGGTGGAAAACGGGCCCATCAACCCAGCTATCTCAGGGCCCGGGCTAAACGGTGTGTTGGCGATTTCGTGGGCCGCTCTCGTGTTGACTTGGTCTTGCAGCAGAGGCGAAGCGAAGACCGAGCGAGGGAGAACGAGCACGAAACGAGAAGCGAAGACACTGCTCAGCTCGGGCCCTGTCAGCCAGCCCTCCTCCTGCTCCTGCTTGGATGGGGGGGCGCAGATGTCGGATACCTGCGCTCTCTGGCGCTCCGCTCTGGACTCCGAGGCGAACGCAGCCGACGAGGGCCCTCGAGGAGGGCCCCAAATGGCGGAACCGCAGGAAGCGTATTATCCGTACTCCAGATTTCGTAATAAAGGTAGGGGGGTCTCATTTCGGGGGGGGGTCTCTTCCAGGCTATCTTGGAGGGCCTGGGGGGTCTGGGGACGATGTTTAAGAGGGTTCTCCCACGGGGGAGGTCTAAAATGGCTTGTCTTGGAGGGTCCAGACCCCCTCCCTTTTATTACGAAATCTGGAGTACCCGTCGGTCGTTGAAATTAGGTATTTCTGGGTTCCCAGATCCCAGTCTGATTTAGGCACCTTCCTACAACCCTCCTCGAAACCGAACGCAAGTTTTTCATGTTGACCGACGCGCGAAGCGCGGCCCGCGGGGTCATATTTTAGTGTTTGCAGTCGCCGGTTTCGGCGCAAACGCTGATATGTTGGGGTCCTGGGGCGCCGCCACGTCGCGGGAAAAACTTGAGTTTGATTTCGAGGAGGGACGTGCTCCAAGGATAGAGTGGTTTCCTTCTTCCCTCCTCTTCGGGGGGCAGGCGGAAGCCCACTCCACTTCCACCGCCCTCCTGCTTCCTGCTTCTACCCACTTCTCCCGACCGGCCCGTTATCCGTATGGATACGTTTCCCTCCTCGGACGCCCCTCACGACCAGGATCCGTGCAAGATCCGTTCCTGGAGCCCTCCTGGGATCCATCCCGGCTGGCGCCCCGCCGCGCATCGGCCTCTCGGGGCCTCGGGGCCCGAAGCCGCCCTCCTGGATTCGAGTAGGGGATCGACTACAGAAATGGTTTACCCCCGAAATTGATTTCCTCGTTTGAGCTACGGGAAAACTAGAATGCTCGTAGCTCTACGGAACAATCGTTATACTTTTTTCGTGGATTCGACCGACAAATCCAATTTGGGGTCAGGCAATTCTGTAGTCGACCCTCTACTCGATGGACGCCGGAAGCGGCGAACAAGCATGGCTCTCCTCCGAGCTCTCTTCCTCTGACGTGCCGCTCCTGCCAGGAGCGCGGTCGCCCTTCCTGCCCAAGGGCATGGACGAGTCCAGCGTGTGCGGGGCGTGCGTGGCGGCGCTGCGCGAGGCCCCGCAGCCGCGCCCGGACGCGAGGGCGCAGCGCACCGGCGACGGCCGGGGCGCAGGGCGGCGAGGTGATCACGGCGACGGCGGTCCGGGAGGAGGAGGAGGAGGAGGAGGAGGAGGAGGAGGAGGAGGAGGAGGAGGAGGAGGAGGAGGAGGGGGAGGAGGAGGAGGAGGAGGAGGGGGAGGAGGAGGGCACTCTTTCCGGCCAGGCGGGCGCCAGAGCGCAAGGAAGGAGAAACGCCATGGACACAAACTTTTGGCGCTCCGCGCGGATTTCCTGGCTCCGCGCGCTGGGTCCCCCTGGCGGCGCCTCGGGCGCCGGCCCTGGCGCGCTCCGCGCGCCAGGGAGGGGGGTCCGGCGCAGAGCCAAGAAGTCCGCGCGGAGCGCCAAAAGTTTGTGTTCATGGCGTTTTCCTTCTTCTAGCGTGGGCACTTTTTCTGGCCAGGCCAGCGCCAGAGCGTCTGGGCCATCTGGGAGCATCGTGGACCATCTCGTGGGGCACGCGAGGCGCGCGCAAAACCAAGCAAGGTGTACGGGGAGGGGACGTCCGAGCGATGCCAAGCGGTAGCGACAGCCCGTCGAGCCAGGGCGCTGAGCCAAGGACCCCTTCGGCTCGGGGGCGGGCTCTGGTCTTCGGCGCCGCTGGCCCGCCAATAATACCCTATCATCGGAGGGCACCAACTATACACCAACACCGATCCTGGCCCAGGATCACCCTGGGCCCAGGATCGGTGTATATGCCTTCTTGCGCAAGGCAGGAGGGCGTATACACCGATCCTGGGCCCAGGGTGATCCTGGCCAGGATCGGTGTTGGTGTATAGTTGGTGCCTTCCTATATCACCCCCCCCCTTCTGGGCAGCGTGCACCGCAGAAGCCCTGGCAGGGGGACAGCGTGCGTAGGAGGGGCCCTCGCAGGGGGATCGCCTCACAGGGGTAGTGTCGGCCACGCGCAGAGGGGGGTGGGGGGAGGGGGGAGGGCTTCTTAGAAGCACCGCTGCTTCTTAGAAGGCGCGGGCCCTGTCTGTAGGTGTAAGGCCCGCGCCTTCTAAGAAGCAGCCTCCTTCTAAGAAGCCTTCCCCCCTACCCCTACCCTCCTCTGCGCGCCGCCAAGAGTGTGCTTTTCGGAGATCGGCGTTGCAAGCTATCTTTTTAACGCCAACCGTAGGTCGGTGGCACCGAGTTGAAACCGGGGCTTGCCGTGGCCAGGGAGACCCCTTCATGCCTTATTTCGTGGTGTGTTCCTAACGGCGGCGCGATGACTGTTTTGTGGTTCTGCTCGCAATCCGCCCTGGGCTTCACGAAGACGGCTGGTAGCGGCGCAACTGCGCTTCTTGTTTCTTGTCACGGTCAGCACCCAGCAGCACACGGCAGCGAGGGCGTGTGCCCGACGAGTTTGTGGGGAAAAAAACAGAACAGGGGTGTGCCCGAACGATGTAATGGTGGGGCGACGACGGTGTGGGAGGTTCGTGTCGTGGGGATGCGGAAGCGACCCTGGCGCGGGCGTTCAAGGTTGAACGCTTCCCTTGCTCGGGCCTGGCCGATGTCAACCGAGCCTACGCGATCGGAAAGCCGCGATCGTGCAAGGTTGAACGTTCCACGTGGTACCATTACCGACGCACAAGTCGTCACAGCACGAACGAGTAGGGCTTGCATGATTAGTTGTGAATGACTCTGATGGTGGCGACGATGATGGCAATGTTTGTTTGAACAAATTCGACGGCGACGACGATGGCGCCAGGGACAATGACGCAGTTAATCAGTTTTAAATTGGATGATTATAGTGGTGATGACGACGATTTGGTGGATTCCCCTGGCGACGAGGAGAACGGCAACCGCACGCCGCACTGGTGACAGCAGCTGGAACTGCAGCAGCAACGGCAGGATGGTGAGTTATGACATCCTGAGAAGGCGGAGGTAATGGAAGGGTGGGGTGGGGGCAGGTGCCGGGGTGCAAGGCGATTGCTCGGTATCTTGTCATCACTTGACATGCGGTGCCTGCAGAGTGATCGTCATCTTGCCACTACACTTGGCTCGCGTTGGGCGGAACCTATCGGCTCCCAGGTATCAGCACCCTGCGTGCGCGACCTGGTGGAACGGCCACGGGGCACCAAGGTATGACACCAGCGAGCGACCCATACCTCCGACGCCGCGCTTCTTCGCTTGGTTGCTTATGCTTGGCCTGGATCTCTCGAGCTCTTCCCTTGGGCACCTTTTTTGATCTGGGTGGCCTCTTGACTGTCCCGCGGCGCGGAAGCGGTTCCCAGAACCGAAGCGTACGGGCATTGAACAAGAATGCGACAGCAAGCTTAGGGAGTGTGCATGGCGGAATGGCTTTGGAAGGACGCACACGGCATAAGACGAAGAAGAACAGACGCCATAAACATACATGTTTGGCGCTCCGCGTGGAGCGCCAACAGTTTATGTTTATGGCGTTTTACTTTGTTTAACCAAGCAATGTATGTGCGCCTCCGAAATTCTAGAGGCTTCACGTAACCCTACCAGCAGGTTGCGCGGCTCTAGCTTGCTCCTGTTTTAATTAGTAGGCCCGCGCCCCGGACTTACGACTCGCCGCTTGCGCTGTCGCCTGCGGCTGCGACCAAAAAAGTAACCCCACCAGCCTACCCAGAAACGATGCCCAAGCGTGTTGCCCTGATCAGAGATGTGGAGGAGCATGAGGTGGAATGAAGGGCTGAAGAAGGAGGAGGAGGAGAAGGAGGAGGAAGAGGAGAAGGAGGAGGAGGAGGAGGAGGAGGAGAAGCAGGGAGAGCGGGAGGGGGAGGAGGGAGGAGGGAGGAGGAGGAAGAGGCGGATGAGGATGAGGAGGAGGAGGAGAAGGACGAGAAGGGCGAGCAGAAAGGCCAGAGGCATCTTGGACGCCTCTCGGAGTCTCTTCGGATGTCTCTTGGGAACTTCTTGGAGTCCTCTTGAGGCGTCTTGGGGGGGGGCCTCTTGGCGGCGCTGGGGACCTCATGCAGCGTCTTGGATGCCTGCGGGGAGCCTCTTGGGGCCTCGTCGGGGTCTCTTGGGAGCCTCTTGGGGACCTCTTTGGAGCCCCTTGGGGCCTCCTGGGAGCCTCTTGGGGCCCTCTTGGGAGCCTTGCGAGGCTTAGGGGCCATCTTGGGGCCATTTTTGGAGGACTTCGATCAAAAGAGGGGGGTCCTTAAATAGATGTGTTCCCCTCCCGGCGGCCAAAATGGGACCAACATCTAAGTAAACTGATTGGTTTTTGACTTGTAGGCGAGGCTCACAAGACCCTCTGAACCCTCGCGGCCCTTCCCCTCCAGACCCACGGGAGGGGTTAGGGGGAGGGGTCAAGACACCCCCTAGATAGCAAGCCGTCTAGCTCACTCCCACCTTCTCTCCCAACACATAAGTAACACCCGAGCCTCAGCATGTTCAGCGGTCATCTTTGGATGGGCAGCTACTGGGAACCAAAGCCGACAAACTGTGCGCGACGCTGCTGGGGCGAGGTGCGCCAGGCGCGCCACGCGCGCCAGGCACCCCTGGGGTCCGAGCGTGTCACGCACGCCTGGTGCGCCAGATGGTGCTCCGCGTGCGCTAAGTGTGCCGCATACTCCAGCCGCGCCAGGTGCGCCACGTTCGGGGCACGCGCAGAGTGTGTCAGGTGCGCCTCCGCACGTGACAGCACACATCGGAAAACATGTCGGCCCTCACCATCCTTGCCGAACAACAATGCCCATCATTGTGTCTGGTGGGCCTGCGCACAGCAGGCCATACGCCACCACCCCCGCCGTCCTTGTCAAAAACCACTTGACCGTGATCGCGGGGTGGCCACGCAAAACCAGATTTAGCCAGGAGGTGCATTTAGTAGTGCTTTTTGTTATGGGTAGTAGCCTTGCGCACAGCAGGCAATATGCTGACACCCCCGCCGTCCCTGTCAAAAACAATACAAAGTGCTCGCGGGCCTCACGAACATGACTCAAGACTTTGTCCAAAAGTCTTTGTTGTTAAACATTGTTTTTGGCAGGGATGGTGTGGGGGCCGCATCGGATTGGCCGCGCATGTTCCAAAGGTGGAGGCAGAGTGCGTTTTGTGTTGCTGTTGACAGGGATGATAGGGGGGGGGGGGGCGCATGGTTCCTGGTTGGCCGCCGGCCGCCTGACGGAGGGGATGTATATGAATAGGGAACAGTGATCAAGCTTCCCCTCCCCCCCCACAGAACGGCTGTCTCGCTCACTTCCACCGGTCATCCCACCGCAGAAGTTCGGCGGCGAACGAGTGGGCGAAGGGAAAAGGAGAAGGCCCTCTCTGGAGGCGGTAGGGCTTGAGGAAGGCTTAGAACACTTCTCAGAAGGCCTGGGGACTTCCGAGCCTTCTGGGAAGGCCCGCGCCTTCTCAGTTCCCCCCAGGGCTGGCCGCCGATACACCCATCAAGCATTTTAAGAAAACGCAGTAACTTTCATGGAATCCGTGTGCTGCTGTTCCTTGCTTTGAAAAGGGGTCCAGGTGCATGGAGTGCTCGGCATGGTGCAACAAGGAGGTTGCATTTGAGACGCGTTTTATTCCTCATATGTAGTGCCACCCGTGTCGCTGAACAGGCCGAGGCGCTAACATGTTTCTACTGCGTTTGAATCATGTTGGGGTGAAACAAAACTTTCATGGAATCCAGATTCGGCTTAAGAGGAATCAGGAATCTGGACTGGACCCTGGGCATCTTCTCGGAGCGCCGCCTTTTCTCCGTGGAGTGCTCCCACCCCCAGACCTGGGCTACTGGTCAAGGAAACGCGCTGAACACGTTCTTCACTCTGTGCAAGGATGTAAGTAGCACCCGGGCCTCCGCATGGGCGGTGGCCGCCATCGATCCCAGTCGGCCAGAGCCAGTGCGGACGCGAGCCGGGTGCGCACCGCCCGCGCGACGCGCCTATCTCGTGCCGTGGCACCCCCGTCGTCCTTGTCGAATACGGTCGGGCCGAGGTCTAGGATCGAGGTCGGTTCGGGGAGGGTGCCGTGATGGTCGTCGTGCGGGTTGGATGTTCTTG